CGCACCTTAACACCACAAGGCAATCGCGCCAAGACGACAGCGGCAAGATACAGACGCAATGACAATGACCAAGTTGGGCACACCAATGCAATGTCCGGCGGACTGCATCTGAATCGCTTTGGGCAAATCTAGTCCTTTCTCCATGTTCGGCCATTTTTGATCGCGGATGACGAATTCCAAACGTTCAATGCTCTCCTATCTGAATCTTGCTGTGCTCGATGGACTTGGCACGGAAACCCTTGCTTTGCAAGTGGCCCCAAAATCCGACCTGACGGCAATCCCAAGGCAGAAAATCTCACTACCGTCGACAGACCGTTCAAAGCCTTCAAAGCATCAATAGCATTGCCCCACTGCAGGTACACCTCGAAGACAAGATCTCGAGGCTGCGTGTTGTGCAACTGGTCAAACACGGAACACTCTCTGCTTACAACCCACACCTGTGAATATGTGTTCGCTTCCTGCTTCTCGATGTATAGTAGCCTCGGCTCGGGCAACGAAAAATGAACCTTTGTAAAGAAGCTTTACAACCAGAACTAATCGTCGGCTTGTGGCCACAGAAAGCCAAGCCTTCCGTGCATAGACATGTCAAGTGATGACTTGCGAGCAAGGGTGCGCAGTCCCGACCCACGTGCTTCACGCATTGTCACCAGTCCCGTGTTGGACTCTGTATGACGAGGCATTCCGCGTTGAATTGGCCCGATAAACAATGATCTCTTGTTGAAGCCACTACGCTTTCGACCGCTGAACCGCAAAATCGTCCACTACGCCTTCGCCCGCTGAACAGAAAAATTCGAACGGAGCTAGTAGTCATCCAACTGATGTACACATCGATATGTCGTTGTGACCAGCTGTAGTCGAATGGCCCCTCGGGACCTTTGCAGCCGAACAACAAAGATGTGTTTTGAAGAGGCATACGCCGGCCTTTGCCTATGCATCGGAACTCAGGCGAATCACATGAAGTTGTTCCAAAACCTCACCGGCTTTCAGGTGAAGTGACAACGGCAACAAGGTCGCACCTATCTGAAGAGCCGGTGAGATCGCTTGGGTCAACAAGCAGTGTTTCGCACAGTTTTCCCGCAAGAGGACGCATTGAAGGTGGGTCTCAAGCACGTCCAAGGCACATGTCTGTGGAGTTGCTGAAGGAAAAGAGTCGGTCCAGGTTGTGTCTGTGATGTCTGTGCGCGTGCCGGGAACGACGATGTACAGCACACGCGATGCTAAAATGAGAAGTGGAATGCAAGTCCTTCCTGAGACGCAGTTCCTCCTGGCCGCATCTAACACAAACCGTAGCAAACAGCGATGCCCATCCTGGCCCCAAGGCATACAACCTGTGTCAATGTGGAGTCGCGGTAGCAAGATGCGGCAGGTCCGACGAGACAATCCCGATTACACTCACCAACAGAGTAACACAAGCGTTGCTCGGCTCCACTTACTTCGCGGTCGCCGGAAGGAGGGAAGATGTGGGTCGTCTGTGTTTCAGGTCGAGAAGTTACTATCTATGCAATGCATCTTGAGCCTTCAACTCGCAGCAGGTTTTAAAGAGGTGAAAAGATTCGAAGAAAAGTTAGACCAGAATAGACCAGATGTCTTTGCTGGTCAGGGCCTGGCCGTTCCGACTTTAGCTTGTCAAAACATGTCCTGCGAGGAAGACGAAGAGGAACCGACGATCGACTTTGGACCCGGTTTCAAAACGACTAGGACGACAGGAGCTCTGATCGATTCGAAGAAATCGGAAACTGATGCCATGGCTGGCTTGAAAGGGTTTCTGGTCAAAGCGAGCTCAGAGGCTCGCAGGCACATGCTGTGGGGACTCGCAGCATTCTTGCAAAAGCTGAGGAGAGGACAGATGCGCCGTCGCTGCATCTATCAACTCGATTTCCAGTTCGCGGATCTCTGCGATGTAGTGCATGCACCTGGGAAATGGACATACATCTGCAGATCTGCAGTTCGTGGAGGGGGAGCTTGGGCTGGAACCAGTCTTGTCTGATGACATCGCCCTCTTCACAAGCTTTGCAGTACAATTCCAGGAGGTCACCGACCTGTAGATGGACGGGCAGGACATGCGGCCCCAAGTCCGTGAGAAGGTTTGCCAAGCAGCGGACAACCTCCTCTGCGGCCTTGCACTTCTCGATGGCAGACTCCATGGACTCTCGATCTGATTTCTCCTCACCTGTCTGACAGAGCTGCCTAGCTTTCACACAATGTCCAGACAAAGTCTAAGTGTCGAATGCCGAGAATAGGGCGAACCATCGTGACATATGTGGTAATCTCGCTTTCAAACCTTGGAATCACATCTGGCCGTGTGGCGGCTGCCTTGTAGGCTTCGCGCTGAGCACGATGCATGACGTTCGGGCGTGACGTGCAGGACACGAACTTCTGCCATTCAATCTTCTCTTGGAGTTTTGACCTTACTCTGAAATCTACCGGCGCTCCCTTGAGCTACTTGTGCAACCAAGATTGGAGCTGCTCATAGTCTAAGCATCGCTTCCGCTCGCCCTTCATTCCTGCCAAACGTATGGGATAACGGCGCGGTGCATTTCGGTGTCCGCAAACCAGGCAGCAATACGAGCAACAATCTCTTGCTCCTCCTCGCAATGCAAGTCAGCGCATGACAATTGCAAAATGCGACCTCTCCATTCAAGGAACTTTGCCCAGCCTCTAATCGCTCCGCTTCTAACACGCGGTTCTTCCCTTCCAGCTCAATTTCCAGGCGCTCCCGATGGGCAGCCAGAGCATCCTTCACAGAGCGGGGCAGCTGCTTATTGAAATTCCAACATGGCAAAATCGGGAGGCATCGATCGTGCAAACTGAAATCGAAACCCTAGAAACGACAATAATGCAGTCACAGATTACCCTCGTTGTGCTGCTCTCTTGACGGGAGCAAAACTGAAATCGTCTGTAGGTCAACTCCGCTGTGCACCGGTGGCTTCATGACGTTCACGGGCTCTCCCCCGTGATCCCAGGTGCCGACTTTCGTGCGCTGTGTATTCTTTACAGGTGCCTGTTATCCCCAAATGGCCACAGCGTCACCCCATGGCTTGCCGAATTGGGTCGAGAGCTGATTTTGGAGGGCCCGTACTAATCGGAGACTGGGTTTTCAGCTGCATCTGGCCTCCAGCGCATAACGTGATGACATTACATGGGCTAAGCCACGCTTGGTGCAGCTGCGCTTAGATAGATTCCATGAACTCATGGGATCGCCACTCAGTGCGCGTGTGCGCACGGGTTGGCGGGTGCTGATCTCGGTAGTTTCTGTGGCGAACGAAACTGTGAATGCTGAGAGATTGGACAGCATCCAGAACTCGGAGATTTGCGCCGGCAAATACCGGCATTCGAACAGACTGCTCAAGCCTTCCAAGTCCAGCGGCCTTTGAGCCAAAACAGTTCCATGATCACTTAAGAACTTCAGAAGCTGGCGGCTTACTGATTGGAGCTTCCTGGTTCTCGACTGCTTGCTTTTGACTCGAGGCCGCCCCTATGAGTCGATTTGCAGACGATCGCCCAGGTTTGCTGACACAAGCTACTCTGTGTTGGCCTGTCGCTTGGCGACATCTCAAGCGTCGAGCAAGACAAACCGAGGTGTTTCTGTTGTCATGCGCCGGGCACCGCCGTAGCAATCGGACCTCACGGACATGACGGAAAGAATTTCTTCTGCGTCTGCATCAGCCGTCACCGGAAGAGTTCCCCGTAAAGCCGGAAAAGTTTAGTAGCTAAAGTCCGGCACAGAAGTCGACGGGGTGAAGGAAGCGTGGCGACGCCAACGGCTCGAGTGAGTGCATGCAGGTCCGGCACCAAGGCTACTAAGTAGCTCTGTAGCTGCTACGTCAGTACAAGACATCGATTTCTTGATGGATCCTGATGACGGATGTTCCGCTCTGATGTCTCAGCCCGAATGCTTCGCAAGGCTCGGGCCATCCAGGAACCACGCGAGTGTTTACTCCCAATATGTACTCTGTGTACACTTACAAAGTCGTTACCTTGATGTTCCGTGCTTCCATCCGCTGCCGCAGCCGCCTCTGCAACTATCAGAAACGGACCCAAAGTAGGGCATGGCGAACGAATTTCCCTCGACACGCAGAGCAGACGAGTTGGTGTGTTGCCACGACGTTCATGGCAAAAGAATGCACCTGGAATACACTGACTGCATGCGGAGTAAACAAAAACTCTCCATCCAGAAGCCCTGGCCTGTGCTTGAACTTCAACATTGCTGCCTACACCGTTCTGTTCGATCTGTGACTGCCAGCCATGCAGCCTGTGCAACTACATCTACATTTACATGAGGTACTCGTTACTCGGTTAATGAAGAACTGAATAAATAATTTTCGGGGGAAGTGCCTGCTTGCTGGGACACTTGGCAGACTTGCCCGCCTCCTCCAACTTGAACAGACGTTCTTTTTCCTCATGGCGCCGTTGCTCTTCTGCTGCCTTCTGCAACTCATCCTGGTCGTGTGCTGCAGACAAAAGGGGGCGTACTGCAAAAACATGAAAGAAGCTCTGTTTGCACAAGAACATGACCTGCCTCCAGTTGTTTCTTGGACTTTTTCTTTGTTTTTGGCATGGCGCTTTTCTGAGCTGCTGAGCTAGTGTTCACGTGCGTCGAACATGCATGGAACTCAAGGCCGCCATCCGCCGTTTCTTTTCGCAAACACGGTGTGAAAAGGTGTGGAAGTGAGTATTTCATGGAAGCGGCTTTCCATGTCGTTTCTAATTCACTAAACCTTCAGCCAAACAGCCAGCCCCATTCGGAAGGCGCCTGTAGCATGTTGTGCGCATGACAATGGGCACAAGCTTCAAATCTAGCTGACGCACGAGCCGTGGCAGTTGGTGTGCCACAGCCCTCTTCGTGCCCTCGGAAGTTTTGGTCGAAATGAGCACAAGGCATTGCAGCACCAACTCGCACATATTCATTTGCAGTCGTGCTGCAAGGCCGTGAAACAGCGCATGCATGGATTTTGCGGGTGAGACATGGTGACATGGCGAGGTAATGCTATGTCTCGAAACTACTCCATGGACCCTGCGCGTCGCATGCTCCCGCTCGACGGCCTCCTTGGACCCAAACGAAAGAACACATCGAGGAAAGTGGCAGATGGATGATGAAAAGCTCGCTGCGCAAGAAGCACCGGGAGATGCTTAGCCGAGGACTTCTGGATGTTGCTAGGCTTGTTGCTGCTGCTTCGGGTCGGGGCAGGAGTCATCCCCAGCCTTGTTCAGGCTAGCCATGGTAAGAAACCAACTGCAACTGCAAGAATTGAGATCGTGGCGGAGGCAAGCCCACATTCATTCCTGCCATTCCTGATCCAGGCCTGTGCTGCTCTTATCCGCAAGCTATGCCATGGTGTCACGAGAAATCCTTCGATGCTTGGCAACCGGCTGCTGGACAACACGCATTTGTGGTTGTCCACCGTTGGCGGGCTTCTTTGCCGCAATGGGGTTCATGATGCCGACTGTCGGTGCCGCTCCGAAAACCTGGGAGCTTTCACGATGCCGAAAAGTCGCACTCTGCAGCACTGTGGCACTGCGACGTGTTGTTTCGCTTCACCTCTCCCTCTCTGCCTTGTTGTAGTTCTGCTCTCGGTTCACAAGCTCCAGCTTGTAGAACTGCATGTCATCGAGGAGCCTTGGTGCACAGTCGGCCAGTAGGCCCCTGCAGCTGAACAAGAGCACAAAGGAACAAAGCCGTGGCTTTGGCTTCTTCACCTGCGCAGATTTCTCATCCAAATCCTTCTCCAGATTGGCGATAAGCTCCAAGTCCTTCTGCGTTCTCACATCCAGTCCCTCCCACTTTATGCTAGTCTTCATGCCTCTTCGCGGGAAGGTCTCGACTCATACAGCTCCTGCAACCTCCAGACCACAGTTCATGCTACAACATGAGGCATCATCTCCATTCTTTATCCGGCACAGATGCCGTCTGAGTTGACTGCTCCACAATCCTCTTTTGCAGCATGTCTATTTGCATCTCCTGTCGCAACTGGCGGGTGCGGCCCTGCTGAAATCTCTGGTCGCAACTCGTGCCTGCAGCTGTCGGGCCCTGTCAAACTGCTGCTTCAATTCGACCGTCTCCTCTTGCAGATTACAGAAATTTGCAGAATGCAGTGCAAAAAAAACTGCGCTTGGTGTGCGCCTTCAGGTGGGCCTCTAGAAGCTGCTCGACTCCTGCGTGTCTCTGCTCCACCAGCAGAGCACGAGGGAAAGAGGGCGACAGCGGCGACCGTGTGTCCTCTCTTGTGTTGTTCCTTGATGTTACGCTTCTCGCGCTCGAACTCCTCCGGGTGGCACGAACGAAGACACCAGCAGCAATTGCTCGAATTTCGATCGACAGTTCGCTTTTCTCAACACCGCTACCAAGCAAAGTGGACACTCTGAACCTCACCACTCAGAAAACGAAGAAGAGCTAAAACTTTGTCAGCCTGCTAAGATTCTACCGGTGTTTACCTCTCCTGGTCCGCAAGACGAGTATGCGGTCGAGACTAGTCTGCATTTGCAACTTCACGTCCTCGCGCTGATGCTTCATCATCTCGTCGTGTTTGACTGCAGTCGCCCGGAACTGCTCCTCAAAGCGATGAGTAGCTCATAACTCATAGCTGCACGCACTAAAAGAGAAGAGTTGCTGAGTATGCCGCCTCCAGTTGCATCATTGCTGCTCTAGAAGTTTGCAATTCCCCGCTCAACTTCGTCACCTGTCATAAAGTTTGAACACCTTGGAGCCGGTGTCGAGAGCCATGTAGTTTACTGTTGCACCTGCCTGCGTGCGACTGGTCGTGAGCTGCTCCCTTTCAGCAGCCAACTCTGTGCTGATGGCTTGCATCGCTTCGGCATGCCTGCGACCACTGGAGCACCACGGCTGTCGCTGTCATGCATCACTACGACACACCCAAGATGCCTATAAGCCTATGCGGCATACTTGAAAGCGCCTTGCAGCTGCCACTTTGGCAGATGCTTCCACCTCTTGCACAGCTTTGGCCATCTCAGCACGAACCTCATTCTCATGTGACAGCTAGGTCAGCTGGGTCAACTCCCTCCTCTCTTTGCAATGGCGTCGAGTGCATCAAAGGAGCCTCCTTCATAGCGGCATCGTGCGTGGCTGCAGCTTCACGCACTTCGGAAGCATGCGCAGTCTGTCGAGGAAAGGTGTGGGAGTCTTGATGGTATCTCGCAGCGCTCTAGCTCCGAAAAGACATCAGCGGAGGCCTTGAGGTTTTCTGTTTCTCGCAGATGCTTCTGACGCATTTCATCCACCCTCTCCTTCGAGCGAACTTGGCAGGGCGTGTGGGTTAGTA